TTTTATGTATTAAAAATATAAATAGGTATTGATAAAAGCACTGTAAGAACAATGCACTTAAAATTAACCTATAAATATTGCATATAATTAGTTGGAATCATGTCACACCATTGGAGCAAGACTGCCACATTTCAACTTCTGAGGAAATATAACTTAACGATTGAACCTGCTCCCAAATGGTTAATTTTAATTTTGAAAGCTTTAATTTTAATACTTTTCAATTATTTTTTTGTTACCCAGTGCTTGTTATTTTAATTTCAAGCTACTTAGTTAAATCTCAGCCAGACACCACAATTTGGGGTTACGGCTATTTAGCAATAGGTTTTAACAAACCAAACTGCCAAATTTGTTTGTTGTGCCAGTTTACCATTTTAAATATTTTACAAGCCGTAATGAAAAATGTGGCAATTTTATTTTTATTTTTAGACTATTAATATACCAGACAAAATGTGGCAGTTTGTTATTATTTCACCAATGTCATATGGTTAAGAATTATTATCAAGTTGAAAGTTAAAACGACTCAAATCGAAATGAGACAGTCTTGATTTACTATGCTTAAGTATAAAAAACTGTAGCAGTATTATACTTTTTTTTTAACCGAAAAAACCAAGAAATTTATTACAGAAACGTTGGTTGGGTTAAACGTCAATTCATGTCTGGCCGGACACGAGGGCATTTGTTCCCTTAACCCTTTTTTACATCTACCTATAAAATTATGATAAAGACAATTTTGGATCTGATATACCATATCATAAAAAAAGGAAATGTAGATAATACATTTTACAATTTGCACGCCAGGAACTAAAAGAACCATTTAGACCCTTAGCAAAAGTTTTATGCCTTTCCGGTCGTTATTTTGCTAAATTCGTTTGTTATGACTACATTTTGCATATCGATAAAGAAAACAAAATGATAAATCGTTGCAAGACAAACACCCAATATAATTACACGTGTACCTTCGAGTACATTACAAAAACATGTTATTCTATTATTTTCGATAAATCAAAATACACTAGAAAATTGATTGATTCATTAAGGACAGGACACTAGTTTTCTCTTTAAAAAATAGCATTTATGTAGCTTTTATAACAATTTGAGACACTTAAGTTGTGTGTTGTTTTACAATATTATAAAACTATTATTAAACGTTTACCTTTTTTTTTTTTTTTTCACAGCTCAGTATTTTTACAGAAGCGTAGTGCCAGCAGAAAAAATAATATTTCACTCCACCCTTCCTCCCATTCTAAATTTTAATGTTTAATAACTCCCAAAGTAATTAGCCAAAACTGGTTGTCGACCGGTATACTATCCAGAAAATAATTCTCAGTTAAAATAGTAAAATATGATAACCAAAAATGTTTTCAAAAAAGAAATACTACAAAATTGCAATTATTCTAAAGCGTAATCATTCCATCTTTAAACCACGACGAAAACATTCGGTTTGAGTTCGATAAAATTTGTTTTATCAATTTTAAAAATACCCATTGCTGCTTTGTGTTTCGCTCAATTTGAAAATATTTAAAACGGCAGAGACCGTTTTAACAAATTAGGGGTTCGGTCTCAGGCCAATACGAACCAATAAGTCATTAATGATAAGACCATTGCATAGGTATATAAATTATTTTAATAATTGTTAGAGAGTGAGGATTTTGTATAATTTCGCACATTGGCGCATGTGTTTCAAAAGTTACACCGAGTTCAAAAGTAAATAAAGATTTATATGTGCGATTTTCTATGGAAGTATTATTTTCATCGAATTCTCGCCTAAGCATTAACTCGAAAACACAATTTGTTTTACTATAGAAAACCACTTGGGTTGTTCGATGTGCATTCCCATTTCCACTGTTTACATAAATTGAAATATACAAACCGACGAATTCAAGGTCTTCAGAAATTCATGGCCAACCCGACTTCTTGACGATTTTCTAGAATAATAATAAAAAAAAAACAATTTACTTGAATTGTTTTTGGTATTTTTTTTTTTTTGTAACACAATGTTATTTCAAGGTCATTGTAATTTTCCGCCCTCCGGTAAGAAGATTTTAGGGAGGGCTGATTTCGCAATATCTTATAGCAACTTGTATGAATCACAAATTTAGACATTTGTGTTAATCTATGTTTTGTTTTTTAGTAAAACAGAATTTGATTGGACTTTGATGTTTATAATAGAATTTAAAAGAGCCGTAGTCTTTTTGACAAGTTGGATTATTATTATTTTTATTTTTATAATACATAAATAGTCGCGTTTGCATAAATCGAAGTAATTGTTCAGACTCAAACGCCAAAACCGTTCACTAAACTGCCATAATCTACTATGCAAGGTTCCACTCTAAGCTCAATGGTCATCCGAACCAACTCGTTTACAACCTCTTCCTACTAGTAAACACAATATTATGATACCGACCGTTGGGTCCTAACCTGACCTAACACGGGTTGATGTTACCAATCGACAGTTATTCGCGTCTGTTCGCTTCTCACATCTGGTACACCATGTTTGTAATTGGTCCAGTGTTAAAAAATTTACAGTACATACAGTTTTGTGGGTAGAGAAAAAATTTTACTTTTGACAATAACGTATGTTTCATGTTTGTAAACATAATTATTTTTGCCGAAATGGCTTACTCGAGTAGAATCTCATTCTGCTAATCAGAAATAAATGTATTCGTTGGGTATCTACAATTTAAGTTTTCGAACAATTTTTTAAAATTCGAGAAAAACAATATGTAGACGTATATTTTTATCGAATTGTTTGTCTTTTTATCATGACGAATCCACAAAAGCACAACAACATTATGTGTTTTTGTTTTTTTGGCCTGTATGAAAAATCAAGCGTAGAATCACACCTAAGAAAACAATATCCATACCCTTCGCATGCGTCCCGACTTATAAAATTTAAGATTTGCAAGTACTTATATTTGCGGACTCCTCGAGACTTGAACAAAACAACCGAATGTACCATATTGCTTACATACTAAATTTTTCAAAAAAAAAATATAAAAAAAAACGTATGCATTCCTTTATAACAGAGATGACACTGGCAACGTACTTAAAACTGTAATTTTAGTATTAGGATGGATGCGATTAGTGTTGGTCAATAAATTATTAACAGTAAAGCAATATTGATTGACTAATGACTTGTTCAGGGTTTTCTTTAATAAAATAAAGTTTGACTACAGAGTTTTGAGAAGCTTCACTAAAGATCTATATACAGTCTACATAATTTCCAGACCTTAAGCCCTAAAACTAAAAATGAAACAAAGAAAAAGTTTCCACCCATTTTAGAGGAAGGGTTATTTTTTTTTGGTTAGCCAATGTTTTCAAGGGGAAGGCTGGAACTTTTTAAACTTTTTTGTTTTTATCGATATTTACTATTCCTATGATCAATGCGTTTATTCGATAGTATTTTTTTTATCCCTTTCAGTAATCTTATAATTTTTGAAATTCATCGTTTTTATTTTGTATCTTAATTTTTTTTCGCTAGTTGTATGGTAGTGCTCACTTTACACTTTATAGGTCAGCGCTCAATGTCAAGTTCTTAGGCACGAGCACACATAAGTCATAGTGTGCACTATTCTCGATCAAACACACGTTTCCCAATAACATATTTTTTTGGGTCACAAAAAATCGTTTTACACGCTTACTGGAGGAATCAATCATGTTCCGTAGCAGCTAAATGGCGAAATGCCATTTTCATATGTACAGGGTGATATATTTAACGTAGGACACTTAATGTCTCTTCAGACTTATTGCGATTCTGTATTTTTTTCAAAAATTGTTTATGTTATATCATGATATTATGAAATTACTAATTATTTAACTTTTTAAGGACTATTCAAAGCTCTATCAAATGTTGACCCTCAAACGGTAACGTACATATTATGTATGTATTTATATCGTTTTTAGTTAAGAATGGTTTTTTGAATATTTAAACTTATTTTGAATAATAACTGTTAAAGTTATTATATTTGTAAATTTAGGACGGTAGTCGGAATGAGGTTGTAGGTATAATGCGCGCAGATAAAAATAATATTACACCCTTCTAATAGTTATAAATTTAAAACTTGAATAACTTTAACAGTAATTATCCAAAACTAGACATTAGCCTTCTTAATATTCAGAAAATGTTTCTCATTAAAATATGTATGTTATAATTATTTTAGTATCAATAGTTGTGTTTTAAAGTTATTAAAGTTTAAAATTTAGGACGAGATGAAGGGTGGAGAGTAGAGATATTTTTATTTGTATGAATTACTCGGCCGCACTGAGATATTGAGTGGCTTACGATAAAATGATCACCCTACACAGTTTTTTAAAATCAAAATCTCTGTGCTAATGATATTCCATTTCATCTAATATCACATTTGTTAAAAACGCCATGATTAATACTATAAAATCTAATATATTATTTTAACATTAAACACAGTTACCAGTGCAGGAAAAAAATATTTTAAATTATTTTCTTAAACGTCATGTAATCATAGACTAGCAAACCACAATCAATGTTGTTAGTGTGAATACGAGATGATTTTTTTATTATAAATTGAGAACAAGCGGTTGAAAAAAATGCGAAAATTTTAGATTCACAGCCGGGGATTGAACCGTGGCCTGGGTGTTCTAAACACACCAGACTCAGCCATAGAATGACTTCATATTGTAACATAAGCATGTAACGCAGTTTCAAAAGTGTATTCAGTCCAAAAACATGTTAAAATCAGCAGGGTTTTGGGTTAGTATACTTGAAGTAATAAAATAAATTCTAACAAAATAAATAAGGAAATGATTTATTATTTAATCAAAACTACATTGTGTGTGACAAACTACACACATTCATTAATTTAATAATATAATAGTTGTAATATAATAATAATGTAATATGATAATAATATAATATAATAATAATGTAATATGATAATAATATAGTATAATAATAATGTAATATGATAATAATATAATATAATATAACAATATTAAAATAGAATAGTTCAAACAAAATCAAAACTGTCTTCATAAATAGGTTTTTCATCAAATCAAGGTCTATTAAAAAGTGGTCCAACAAATTTTTTTCCATCAAATAAACTCTTCTCGACGATTAATTCAACTTCCTTCTTAATAAACTTGAAATCTAAAAGTACAAAATATTACACGTTTTTTAACAAACGAATCCGGTCAATTTATCAGCAAATAAGTTGTGAATAATAATGCGATAGGCTTGCGAAAAATTGTATTTCAAATTAATGTAATTGAAGAATAATAATGGCAATTTATATCCTACATTTTTTGTAGTTAAAAAAATTAAAAAAAAACTTATGGTGTATGTCATACGTATTTTGTACACCAACGATTGTTCAATATTTTTTTCTGATCCGAGATTTATGTTTTTTTAGTTTAAAAGGTAATTATAATTAGCAGCAATACAAATAAAAAACTCCATTACTAAAATATTTTTTCAATAGTTTTGATAATTTTACTCAACACATTTATTAAGTATAACTATATTGTTTATTACTTGAGTTTTCCATTTTGTACGGTATTGCCGTTTTCGGTACTTTATTGTAATCAAATTTGATTTCCGGATTCGCATTATTCTCCTGTATTGCATTAATAACTTCTTTTAATTGTTGAAAACTTATGACTTCTTGATAATTAAAATCTGTCTTTTTTCTCTGTCCGAACAGTAGTGCTGCCGTAGCCTATTGTTTTTAGAATACAAATTAGACATTTAAATGTTTTAAAAAAGAGTAACAACGAATTGTCCGTTAATTTAAGAGTAAACTAGTGTAGGTAGATAAAAAAACCACTCGGTATTCAATTTTACAAATAAAACTAAATTTTCTTTAGCGAAATAAGAATGCCAGAAATCTACCAGATATGGGGCAAAACGCCAAATATGAACGATCGTTTGTAGTGATCCCCTCCGATGTTTTTTTAAAATTACACTGCATGTCTGTTATGACAAAAAAAGTTATCTTAAATTTTCTTTTGATTTTGTTTTCGATTATTTTGACCATGGTAGCCAAAGTATATTGAATTTTTTTTTTATAGTACTTTTGGCAATAATAAAAAATGATTTCATATGAATTTTGAGTAACAGAATATGATTAAAATTGAGTTTATAATCTAAAAAGTGGGTTTTTTTCGTGTTGCCCAAAAACCCGATTTTCAAAAGAAATATTTTTTTTTTTTTTTTTCCAATCTCCATTCTTGGGCAAATTCTTTAGCGACATACGCCTAATCACCAGAATTTTTTTAGCATAATCATATCAATTACATAATATTTAAAGCATTTTTGTTGAAAAACAATAAACTTATTTGTAATTTCTCCCCTTCTGGGTCAAATTCGCAAGAAATAGTTAAAAATTTGTTATTGTATTTAATAAATTTTATGTGTGGAAAATTATTAACTTAATAAATTGCTATATAAATCGTATAGTTTTACTGGTAGGAAGTATGTGTACATTTTTTTGATTCAAGAGAAAAACTATATTGTTCAAGATCCCAAAAAAAATAAAAAATAGAACTTTTGCTGAAAAAATTACATAAAAAAATTTTCAAGCATAAGATTAATTCTCTAAATAATAATTTACATTTTGTAAAAATCAGCAAGAATATTACAAGGTTAATCTCAACCTAATTGATACTGGATAATTGATACTAGGAATATTTCGAGTGTCCCTGCACATACAACTTAACTAGCCTTTTATTTGTAATATAGTTTTTATTTACCAATATTCCCGAAGGTAACCTTGGTCCGAAGTAACTTTTGATATAGCTCGAAACATCCTTAATATCGTATGTATAGTCTGAAATTGAAAGTCAAATGATAGCACAATTTTAATGAAACCAAATTAGGACAATTTTACGCCGAAGGAATTAAAAATCATTACGTGTAACATTATAAAAACAATGATGTGATATTAAATTATATAGTTTTATCAACATTAAAATTTTTAATTAACAACGTATCCCATATTTTTTTTTTGTACACCATCAAAAATCCTTTTTTCGTTTTTTTTCTGGGTTTTTAGTTAGAAAAACATTTTTTAAAAATTTACAGCTATACAAATGGCAAACGTAATGATGAAAAAGTAATAATTTTTTGAACAATTTACTTAATGAATTTATTAGAATTTTTATATTGTTTATTACTCGACCCTGACGTTTTCAAGTCATCAACACTAGGAATGTCTTTATTTATTTTTAGTTTCTCTGCTGCTTTCGCAATGATACCTCTTACTTCTTCCAAGTCAATGGTCGATTCTCGCGTTAAATAGTCCCTTACTATTTCATAAATACGATCCTGTTTTAAAAATAAGAATTAAACGTTAAAATGTATATTATAATTTTTACATAAAAATCAAATGGCTAAAATAATAGACATGTAATGTGGTGGTTGGCGGATGTTTTCAGCTTAATATTATTAATGTCATAGTACTTAAGGCATTTTTTTCTTAATATTAGTATGTATTGTTTATGAGTGTAAATATAATCATTTAAATACATTTTCGGAACAAAAACCAGGTAAGGTTAAAGCATAAAAATTAATTTTCTAAAAATATAATACATTTTACACATAGTTAAGCATTTTTCTTTGACCGTAATTAATAAGTGCTCGTTTTACTTACACGTTGTTTAGGAGTCGCAACATCGCCCTGACATTGCAAAAAGTATAACGTTACGCAGAAAAACAGTATGACATTAATTTTCGAACACATTTTAAATTTTCAAATTACCAACTAGGATTCTGAATTTTTAATTATTATTTTTGAAAGTACAAACTGTTTTAGTGAGCACGATTTTATAATGGAATTGGAGTATTGTATCTTTTTGAAATACCGCAGTACTTTCTGTAAGAAAATATACTTCAGGACTGTAAATGGTGTCGAATTTGTAACTACTAATATATGCGATTTCCTGTAAACAACAGAATATGTTTACGAACGGTTTACTTGCGTTGTTTGTCATTTTCAGTACACACACTCTGTTATTGTTATTTTTTAGAATAACTTACTACACTCGCTTCTAAAACTGTTTACTTATGTGCAAAATATAATATGCACGTATTGCAAACGTTTATCGATAGTGCCCTATCTAAAGAATATTTTATCAAATTAAAATTTTTAAATTACAATTTGAAAATATGTATTATTCTGGTTGATTTTTCTCAAGTAAATTGTGAAAGCATAAACTTTTTTGGGCCAAATAAGTTCTTTCGAGGTCTGATTTCTGATCTATATACCTGATACCCAAAAAAATCGGGTCACTGGGTTAAAAACACTTTAAGCTTAAGCACAAACAAAATAATATAAACAACACATTGTATAGAACAATACTTTCTCAGCTTCCATGCGGAGCTCAATAAATACTAAATTTACATTTCATTGAAATCAGAAAAATCTTTTGAAATTGAAGTTAATAATTAATTTTTTTTTTTGCTTAATTATCTTATCGTTATCAAATGGGTTATTTGAGAAGTCAAACTTAATAAGTCATTATTGGCTTTTTACTTATTCTAAATAACTTTCACAATCATAAGTATAGATTTTGAGATTAATTTTTTCAACTATTCGATCTAATTCGTATTTCTAAAAAATATTTCACGTTATAATTCTTTATTCAATGACAAATTTAAATCATATGGTGGAACTATTCTTTTTTTTTTTTATATAACTAGTTAGATCATTAGAGAATAACATTGCTGTGTATTTTAAATAAAACAAATAAAATAATATATTTAGATAATTCAATTTTGGAACAATAACCAAAGTCAATTGAATAGCAAATTTTTGGCTAGACCCCAGCCATAAGTAATATTTGTGTAAAATTAGCAAAAAGTAAAATTGGCGCTTTACGCTATATTTATGTACCTTTGTATCACAAAACTTTCAGTTATAAACGTTAGTTTCGTTACATCTAATTGAAATGTGTTATTGTTCAAAATATCGGCTAAACCACTCAAGGTCCTGGCACTCTTCTCACTGTTGCTTCTGTACGACATATTAACACATTTTACCATATTCAATTTCTGTATTAGTTTTTTCTCTCCAAAGTCAACTTATACTTTAGGTAATTTAATAATAGTAATTCCCCCCAAAAAAAAACGCTCTCAAATATAAACGCCTTAATAAAACCATAATTGTTTTTGTTCAACCCCAAAGTACTTCCTTAGCTGTATCAGTTGTCTAATCAATTACATTACGGTAATTAGTTAATTAATGTGTTATTAAGAGCGCACATTTTTATTTTATTAATTTTTAGTAATAAATGAATTGATTGTGTGTTTTTCTTCAGTGTATATAACATAATATTATGTATTATATATCGATACCTTAGAGCACACAAGTGCTATGTCCACTTTATATAGTTTTGGAGGTATAAAGTTTAACTCTTGAGCTCTTAAAAAAAAAATCCACAAAGGACATAGAATTTTACGGTAATTTGTAGCTGAACAATTTTTTATGCTCTTTGGACAAATCACTGGCGTTCATTTGATTTATCACGAGCTCAAGGATAACCAAAATCACAATTTTGAAAAAATCGACAAAGTACTTGTGTGTTCTAACGAAAAATCGATTTCGACCCTTTTTAAAATTCTGAAATTTTTATAATAAAATCAGAGACTCAAATCAAATCTTTTCGTCTCATAACGGGAATGGGTTGAGATTTTTTTTGATTTTTTTTTTAATAATGGATATTTCTTTTTTCAAAATTTGAAAAAAAAAATGTATAGTTAATTTTTTTTTTATTCGTAAGGCACATTCGTTACAAATTGGAATATTTGTAGTATAGTGCAAAATAATATTATTTAAAATATTTCCAACCGGAAATAACAAAATCGTTAGCATTTTTGATCCAAAGTGCTTCCCGGTGTGACAAGGAATTAGCGACGTTAGATTGTTTGTTTATGATGAATATATTATATTTATTATGTCGGTACGTATAAATTACATTTTTAATATTTACCGCCATCAGAATTTCTATAGGATATGCTGTAAGATGTATGTTCTGATATGTCGGCCTCCCTTTATAAGTTAGATAAGATATATTAGGAAGTGAACACTATAATAACATACCTAATAGAGTGTACACGTTTTTTAGTAATTTTGTTTTAAAATGAATATGATATTATCGGGAGATAATAAAATGAATTAAAAGTATGTTTTTAAGTTATAATTATTTTTAATTGAAAAGGCCAATCTATAAATAAAATAAATTTGTATGAATAATTATTTAAATCATTCGTGACTTTGTTTTATGATTGATTTAATTTATGTATAACAATTTTTATTTTGTCTAAAATGTATTTTTATTATAAGTAAAGCAAACACTTTTTTGAATGAATAAAAGTTATTGTTTATTTTTATCGTTTATTAAGAACTAGTTGTCCTTACCGTATCCATTATTCGACAATTTTTTGACAACTCTGTTCCTAATATTTCATTTTAACTATTATTTTTTAAGTATCACTACTCCACACGTTATACGAATTGTTTGATATTTTAACTGTTAATATAGGTCATTCAAAGTATAACTGCCGATCAATTCAACGATTATGGATTCCTACACTCGTAGTTCGGTACGTACGCTTTATTACAACCAAAAGTACTGCCTATGCGTTTTTTCAAATTAGGGATATCACATACGATACACGAGAAATGCACTTAGTGGAAATAAAAAATGGATTAGTCGGTAACAAAACCAATGAGGTAATTCATTTAAAAAAAAGTAAATATATATTTGTCTAATTTATTGGTTTCAATTAAGCTCCCAAGTACAAGTATAATGTTGCTTCAAGTTGAATGATTGTGTCTGTAATCAAATGTGAAAATAGTGTTAAAGATAGTTTGCTATTAGATGGCTACTATGAAGACTCGACTAGGTATGACATATACACATGTCATCAGCTGAGATCGGGTTCTATAGTCGTTACATCTACAACCAAATCAACATCTGCAAACCTAAAACAAGCATTAAAGTCTATTAATAATACCCATACGAATATATAAAGTATCACTAACTATGAGTAATTTCTAATTAAGATAGTTTGCTAAAGAAATTGTCTTACATTTAATAATTTTCGATATTATCCCATTGCCTTATAAACTCTAGTGTTATTATGAGAATAACACATTATAATATTAACATAGTAGTATAATATAAAATATAAGAAAATAATAAAGTTAATAGTTCCAAATTCAATAACAGTTACTAGTTGCTCAGATATAGATTGCTTATATCGCTGATCAAGTATTGTGTATGGTTGATTTCCTCCTTACTGTGTACTTCAATGTTATCTACCAAATACTCATGTAGTGAAAATTTTAAGTTGAAAAAACCAAATAAATCCGAAATTCTAAGTAATCCGGAGTATTAAAATTGTTTAATAATGAACGTACAAAAGTAATAACTATCAATCAATTGTTCGTAATCTCTAATTAATTTTTCGATCTTATCTCAGTGACTTAAAGTCGCTTAAAGTTTGAAACGGAAAATAATATAAGTAATGAATAATTCAGGGTAGAAAGAAGATGTAGTCCAGAAAAAGGGGAGGAAGATGGACCTATTTATTTTGACCGGTCAGTCGACAACTTTTAAATAATACTCATATAATTTTTCGCAGTTTTGTGTACTACCTAATTTAAAGCAAATAAGAATTGTTACACCAATTGGCGAAATGGGACACACTAACCGCCTAATTTTCGTATATATAGTATATATTATAAAGTTAACGTAGTACAATACATTTTTGGCTATGGTATTAAAATACTGTACACGGACGAATGTAAGATCACGGACCGTACGAATACGGAATTTACAGGGTGTATATGTGATTACAGCCAATTACAACGGCGCTTCTTCACTTTCTTTAAAGGAGCACACAACACAAAAAAACAATCGTTTTAAATTATTATTAAATGTTAAATTATTGCAGTCAGAAATGGAAAAAAAAATTGTTATTTAAGGAGATATTAGGATATTTAGAATAGCCGTGTGACGTCATTGGGCCGAGCTCGCCATAATTGCCTATCTTACACGTGTAAAGTAGCTCGCTTTACACAATGATTTACTAACCTATACATTTTATTAACGATATTTCATTTACACATAGAGCTCATATAGATTATTGAGCATTATTTACATGTTGAGCTCGGCCCAATGACGTCACGCGTTTTTTTAAATTTTATTTTCTATAGCTCATTGAATATTGTGAATAGGAACGTCAAACCTATATAATTTTTCTTAGAATTAAACGTTCTTTTAAATTAAAAACATTTTTTTTTGTGTTTTGTGCTATATTTGATTTGCAATATTTTTCTATTTTTTTTGTATAAATTGAGCTTATCAATTTTTTTTTTAATTTATCACCACTTATTATTAAAAGTCGACTAAAAAAGTTATATTCATTCTACTGCGATCTACTATGTATTTATATGAGCACGAATATTAATAATGAATGTTAGGGGGCTCCATACAGACCATTTTTTCAGTCAAAACACATAATTTTTTGTTCATCGCATAGGCCGAACCAGTCATCCGATAAGCAATCTAAAAACAGATTTTAATTTGTCATAAAGTTTACTTGAGATCGGCCGAGGTACTTTTTTTAATTTTTAATTTCAACCCTTTCCAAATTTGATTTTAAAATTTTAAATTTAATCAAAATATTCAAACGTGTTTTATACGTAATAGGAATTTGATATCAAAAAAGTACCTCGGCCGATCTCAATTTCATGACAAATTTTAATCTGTTTTCAAAATACTGGTTCGGCCTGTGCGATGGACAAAAAATGTATACTTTTTGTACACATTTTTTATTTGTTTCCGCGC